ACATATTTTAAAGCAATTGCTGCGCTTGACGATAATTTTTTCATCAATAAACAATGCTTAATTAATACTCGAAATACGTACGTTTTTTATCATGATTTTGTAACCAGCAAAGGTCAAATCACTAAAATTTAAATATTTCTATAACTAAATGGCCGAATGTCATTAAATTTTGACACGTATCATTTTAAAGGTTTGTACTAACTGAGGATGATATAAATCCTTATTAAAAGAAGGCATCTGAGGATTAGTCCCAGGATTTTTCGGGAGCCTTGTTAGTTTCTCGTCATCAACTGTTGTGTTATATAAAGTTAATTGTTCATTCTTATAAAATACAGTTTTTGAGAGACTCTAAGCATAACTTTTCACCGTTTGCCTGTTTCTTGGTACTCACAAAAACTCAGATTAGTTTAGATTAGGTTGCACAGATGCTGTCACTGTCCAATAAGATTAATACTTAGAAAAGATAGCAAAGTTTTTAAAATTTCTTTACTGCACCGCATAACAGTGGACGTCAAGCTCGTGAGGTCTTGCCGGGGTTTCAGCTTAGATATCGGAAAGCCATTTACAATTAGCAGCCCCTTCTTCTATCAGAATGTGACCCGCGCATTCAAAATTTTCGAAAGCCACAGCGTACGTTTTTTCTTAATGTCGAGAACGCGTTTAACCAAGTTTGGCACGCAGCTTCGCTCAGTCGACTACCCTCTCTAACCGACCCACAGAAAATTCTATTCTTAACTACCTTTCACCATGCGTTTTTATGTGCACACCTTGCCTTCCCTTGTCAATTTCTAAGCCGTCCACCCTGCTCTGCCAGCATTTACAATGCTATCTAGTTGCTATTCATCATAGTGAGGAGCAAAACTCACTGCAGCCCTAGAGGCTCTAAGGTTCAAAACGTAAAGTTATGGCGACTGGAGGGCAAGTTGTTGTTGCGCAACCAGTGATGCATGTGTACTCACCACTCGCCAGTGTTTTCAATTTTGGTGTAACAAGCCAATTGCTCCTCATCATGAGAAGCGCATATGATTTGTGCGAAATGTCGCTCTACTTTGCGGAGCTGGAATCGATGTATAGATGCCGTATACTAGCAAATGAAAATTTAGATGAAGATCGCTACCGCCGTTTGCAAATACTCGCGGTAAGCAGTTTAAAATTCCAGAGGTAGGGTTAAAAAAAAGTTTGGCGGGTTGAGTTAAACTTCTGGTCTCGCTCAAGCACCCCGCCTAACTATAGGGAGTATAGATTGTCTGCTTCCCGACCGGAACTGACATGCGTTTAAATAAAAGTAGATAAAAAGATGTATTTACATATAGCATATCTATGAATGGTACCTTACAATATCTCTCTTCAATAGTAACACAATACTTATAATAATGCCCGACAAAATAGAGACCAGTTTATTGTTTGGAATAGTAACGTTAAAATTCGAATAAATACATGAACTGAAGTGGAAACTATAATTTAAAAGTAAAAGTTAATGATGGTAGAGGCTAACTAATAAAAGCTTTTAAAAATTACCTTTCTAGTTTTCTGACTCTTAAAGTTATAGTCTCATTCCATTCAAAATATATTTTTTAAATAACTTACGTAAGGAGCTTTCGTCAAGCAACAGAAATAAAGACCCTATTCAACCGCTAAAAACTCTGGGACGATAGCACTAAAAATAATCAAATAACTTATGAAAATAAATTGAAAAATAAATGGCCATTTTTTTAGTTGATAAATTAAAATCCGGGGTATTAAAACAAAGAAAGTTCTTCTGTTGTTTAAAAACCCCTATTACCTTAGTAAATTTATCACCCTTTATGTTTTTAAGCGCAATAGAAACTTGTAGGCTTTCAAAGAAAAATTTCTTGCAAGTATTACATACTATGTTTAAAATTCGTATTTTCAAGTTGTCAATCATTATTTATTAAGGTAAATTGCAAATAAAATCCAAGTAAATATGCGATGGTTAGTCAACTATAATAAGACCTCATATAGGGCAAGCAAATAAAACTTAAAACTGTCTTTATATAAAAATCTTGTAAAGTAAAATAACATTTACGCACAAATGAAATACATAGATAATTACTTATTAAATACCGAGTGCGCAAAATCAATTTAACTATAAAGTTTAATAATAAGGTTTGCTTTTCGCAGGAAAATTGAGAGGCAACCTTTTTCGAAAATATGAAGAATGCATAAACCAGTAGTTCACTATTTCTATTAGCACTGACCCATATAACAAACTATATTAATACATTAAAATAACAATATTACTATAGAATATTTTCTACGTGACCGGAAAAACAAGTACTGAAACTATAGTTAAGATTTAACAGTCCTAGAACTCTATTAATTGCTCGAAATGTCATCATTTGTTTTTTGTGACAGAAGTTTTTTAAGTGATGGTGGGTAGTAGTGAAGTTGTATAGAGAAAGGATTTTTCTTTTTATTACACTATTCGTGTCTTATCAAGTATTATTAATAAAAAGACAAATAACATTACGTTACTCTTCCTAAAAAGAGGTACTTTGTGTAGAATACGTAAATATGTGGGAATTATGATTTAAGGTGCTTTTATAATATAAAATTAAAGAGTACCACAGTAGCAAACCCTTTATGTTTACACAAGGGGACTTAAATTATTCACATTTCTTCCAAAATTAGTTAAAATTTGTGAAGACGATTAAAATCTACCTTAATAAGTGCGCACCCTACGAAGTGCAAGCGAAAAAGCTCAGCCTTGCAATTTGATCTCCAGGCGGGAGAATGGCCCGAAGCACCATTACCAGGGAGTTGCGGAGGAATCGAATCTATAGCAGTAGCAGCTTCGAAGACTGACCAATGCTTAAACCGAATATTTCGTTCAATATGTGCATTGGAAATATTTCTGTTCGACTCGGTACGGGTTCTTCTATTTCGATAGTAACTGATATCTGTTGCTTGCTCGTTCTTTAAACACCTTAAGTATACGCAGACAAAAGTGACCTCTCTTTTATTTCCCTTATTCACTACCACTTCGCTCTCTACTAATTGCCTATATGATAAGTTTTTCTCCACGGTAAAAGAATTCCCACTGTTTTTCTGTTACCCGTTAATTACAGTCGTAGCTATGTAGCTAGGGTTTAAATTAAGAAGCGTAAAACTAAAATATACCCTCAGAACGAGCCAACTTTAAAGAAAGAACCTATATGGATAGTTTTACTCAAGGATCATGGTAAATATATAAACTAGTATATTAAACATCGAACTCATTTCTATTATAAAAAAAATAGAGGTTTTAGGATCGACTGGCACAATTTGCAAAGTTAAACCTGGTTATTTTAGAAATTATCTTTTTCTTTAAAAAATTGCTCGGTATGCTGAGCCTTTTGAACTTATTTAACTTGAAAAATTAATTTTTACTTGATAATTTTTATCAGTCCACAAAAATTATTACTATTTTATAGCCACTGGGAGGTCACAAAATTGTTGATAATAATTCACTCGAAAAGGAAATAATTGAGATTTTCCAGGTATTAGTCATTGTTACTATATTAGAGCTATATATTAAACACTTCTAACTTCTATAACCTGTATTTTAACTTTTTAAAATCAAACCATTTACATCACTTCTCCTTCGAAGGAAGATGGAGTGAATAAAGTTGATATAGTTAGAAAGTTCTATAAATATTGGAAATATTACGTACCTTCAGGTATGATTGACGTGACGGTTGCAATTTTATAATTTTATAAAAAGTATTTGAAGTCAGCTTTCATACATTCCCTAACCTTTTTAATTTTTCTATTTTTCAAAGCTGCCATCCTTTTTCCTGATGCTCGCTTGGAGCTTTTTTCTGGAGTTCACGTTGTACAAGTGAAGTGCTCGCCGGATTTATTTCTCAACATTAACGTAGAAGTTTATTCAAAGGATGAAATTTCGGAACCACAAATTTTATAATAGAAATTAGTGCATCTTAAACTGAAAGGTTTGGCTCTCAGGTCAAGAAGTTTTTAATGAGCTCCTAAGAAAAACGCTGAGTTTAAAGACTGTTGCAACGCCCATTAAAACAGCAAGTATTGTACTAATCCAATGTATGTAATTAAATCGGTTAATAACGTAAAGCTAAATAAAAAACAAGTAATTAAAGCTACCAAGTTCCTTCCTGTTTATTTTGACAAGATCAATATTTCATATGAAGTAAAGAATTAAGATTGTTCATATCGTAAATTAGGATTTTTAACTTTTTACGAATTTTTGCTAGTTTTACTGTACTAAACAGAAAATGATGACGATTTATTAATTACTAAATATTATATAAACGAAGCGATTGTTAGTAAAAGCTCTTTTTATTTTTAAAAAAGAGCGTTTATATTGTAAACAAAATCCTTTCAGCGACTTCTTGTAAGAGATGTAGGGGTACCATTAATTGACTCAGTGTTAAATAAATTCTATTTAATTAAGTAGAAAGAACAGAAATTAACAAAGCTATTTAGCATAGCAAAGCTCATAGCATAGTTTAAAGTAAATACTAAAAAGATTGTAGATATTTTTTGAGGTAGGAAACATTCAAAAGAAGCAACAGCGAAGACAGACTTAAGCAGGTTTATAAAGAAAATTTAGCCCGAGTTCCTTTATAAGATAGTCTTAACTATTCCACGTGCCCTCTTAATAATTATAAGTAAATGTTACAATTCAAGATTCGCTACTGTTTGCTATTTATAGTCTTTACAATTTTGTTTATTTTCATAAATGAAAAAGAAACTGAGTGTATATATAGATTAAAAACTCGAAGTGAATTAGGAAAGCTGTATTCTCACATTTCCCTATAACAATTTGGAAAGCATAATATTTTTAGAGAATTTTTAATAATATATGTTTCACCTAAAAGCTTTAAGATCTTTTTTCTTTATTATATATAACTTAAAGTATTAAGTGCAAGAGTATAAATATGACCCAACATATATAAGGCTACAATTCACAAAAAAGGGTGTGTCACCGAAAAAGAATATTTTCTTTTAGCAAAAGTTGAGCCATGTGCCCGTCTAAGTGGATAATATTGGAAAATCCTCCAAAGTGGTCCTCTGAGTAAAACGAAGACTATTTGTTTTCGTGCAGTTTATAGTAGTCGTTGTATGTTTTTTAGTGCTTGTAGAAAAAAATTATTTCGGTTTTTGGGTTATTATTCTCGTAATTTTGCTAAAAAAGTAGATCAGTCCTGGCCTCATTCATCAGTTGACATAGAAGGTGGCTGTATAGTTTTTTTTCCATAAGTCGCTTTAGCCACTTGTTTATGATCTGCTTTTTAGTAAATCTAATTATTAAATTTTCTAATTTTTTATTTTTTAAGTTATAAAAAAATACAAGTTTGGTAATTATGCAAGGATAAGAGCTTATGAAGAAAAGGCTGAGAGACTTAAACTTAGGGTACCGTATTATTAATTTATATAGTGAAGCTTTATAACAAGCGCTTATATAGAGCGACCACGGCCTTATAGAAGTCCAGCGAGAATTATTTGCTTTAAAGAATAGATTGCATCCTGACTTAGCCGAAGAAAAATTAGCTGAAATTTTTAAATCAAACTTTGGCTTATGCTTGCCTTTAGGTGTTTTTTAATATTTATGAATTGGCACTTCAAACTTACTAAATACTTTTTTTTACAAAATTTATTATTATATTACTCATATTAATTTGCAAAAATTATACTTTATTTTTTAGGTAATCACGCTGTATCCCTACACGCTGCAGAATATTTAAACCAGAATTACCCTAATCTTCCTGAGTCGTGCGCCGAAGATATTATAAGTTATATTTTTTTACCTGAAACTTTAGAAGCAATTGCTAAAAATTTGGGTATTGATCGCGTACAGAAAGTAATTTTTTATATTATATTATTTTTTTCCCTACAATGTAGCCTTCAAAATGTACAAGTTGGTAAACAGTTTTACAACTCAGCAGTGCCTGCATAGTTTTTAACTATTTAATTAAAAATAATTCATATGCAAAATAAATTATTATACTAATTTTTAAGTTAATTAACATTTTCTAATATATATGTTTATAGCTTTTGACTGCAGACTGCTCCAAAACCACGTTATCGTCGATTTTTATATCGTTTATCGGCTTGATGCATCTTGATCTCAGCAATAAAGAATCGCGCGAGTTTCTCCAGGCCACAGTAGATCCCGTGTTGGACCAAATTAATCTAAAGGAGCTGATCAACGTCCCTTCTCCTATACTAAGCTTTACTAGAACTTTTAAAAATCCGCAATTCAGGTATTTTGTTAAGATCCTTGCGAATAAGTTTTTATGACTTTTTTTTTCAATGACTGCAGAATTCTGCGAGAGACTGGAAGATTATCTTCAACGTCAGTATTTTACGTGGGCGCCTTCTCCGAAGGGAAGTGCGTGGGAGAAGGAGTGGCTCGCTCCATTCGGATGGCAAAAAATGCAGCATCGCAAAATGCTTTTGTAAATTTATTTTTACAGAAGACGCCCTTAAAAAAAAAGATCTGTTCTCTTCAGGGGTAGCAAATTTGATTTATTACATAAAGATTATAAGATTTACTGTGTAACGATAATTTTAAGACAAAAGAAATAAATTTCTTGTGCTTTTCACTTTCTCTTTTTTTCCTTAATAACTGGAAACGCTTATCTCTTTTCCCGCTTGAATTTGTCCCCAACCAATTAATCTAAAAATTTAAAAAAATTAATTTCAAATATTAAAAAAATAATAAAAAACTACCGCCAGTGCTTATCAACTCTTCGACTCAGCGCAACTTTTTCTCCGGGTTCTGTACAGACCGGCTGGGTTACTACAATCTTAGCCATGTCGCCCTTGAAAATTTAATTTTTTTACATTCAGGTAAAAAGAGTAGAAACTTTTACTTTATAAAAAAAATGCAAAAAACCTTAAAGTTACTGACTCTTCCGCCCGTGCAAAGAGATCCGATGTTTACCATTAAAACTTCATTCTTTTGCAATTGGGTGACTCTGGCTTGTTTTTTATCAGCACCAGTGCGAACCCCGAGAAGCCGCCTCAGCAAGTGAAAGCTTAATTATAAAGAAATATAAATTCAAAATAAATCTTTTAAAATCAACATAAAGAAAAGACGGCAATAATTTCAAACTATATTTTTTTTAAATTAATATAGAGTATGACGCTGGCCCAGAAAACCTGAGCTGGAGCTCCGTGTATATAGCCGGCATGTGTGATTTAATCCCAAGAACTTGTCCTACCATTCGATCCGATCGGCACAAAGTTGGATCAATTTTAGTGCCAACGCCTGCAAAATTATTAAAAAAAGTCAAAATATAAAACTTTAGACAACAGAAAAGTATTAAAATATAATAGTAATAACCTATAAGCCCTCCAGGAATAGCGTACTGCAAAGCGTTTTCGTCTGCTCTCAAAGCCACTATCCTTGAAGTAAGCGGGAGACAGCGAACAGAGCCATCTTCATTTTTGGAAACAATGCCAGGTCGGATCTCAATTTCCATACCAACTTTCAGAACTCCGCACATAATGGAACCTCCCGCTATACCGCCTTGAATATCATCTACCTCAGTTCCTAAAGTATTCAATAACTAAAGTTAACATGAATTTTATTTTTAATAATATATACAAAACCCGGCTTGTTTGCATCAAAGGAACGTATTATTATTAGCCGGGGAGCGGATGTTAAATCTCGTACGGGAATAGGAATTTTGTTGCACTGAACAAAATGGAGGATGACGTGAACCATGAAATAAAGTAATTTGTAGAATTAAGTACTATGTACTCGCAAACACAATCAATGTTTAATTTCATCTGAGCCGATACGGGAATGACGGGAGCATCCTGCGCAACTGTGCCTAGTTACAATAAAAATTGGATCACTCTCAATAATTAAAAAATTAAAAAAAAATTAATTAAATCGATAGCTCTAAAAGAACCAGCCACGAATTTCTGAATTTCTTGGAACTGCTCAATAGCTTGGTTGTCTCTTATAAGATCAACTTTATTCTGAAGAATTAAAATATGCCGAAGCTTCATTATTTCAATGGCGGCCAAATGCTCGGAAGTTTGAGGCTGCGGGCAGGACTCGTTTCCGGCAATCAGTAGCATCGCGGCATCCATTACAGCAGCCCCGTTGAGCATAGTAGCCATAAGAATGTCGTGACCGGGACAATCTACAAAAGAGACGTGCCGCTGTAACTGGAAGGAGCCATTGCAACCTTAAAAAAATAATATTCCAATACGCGTTAAAGTGCTATAAAAAAAATATTTTAAACCCTCTCGATCACAAGAAAAAGTATCCTCTTTATTGCTAGGAGCCGAACGATAGCTTAACAAATTTAATTTTTTTTTTAAAAAATGAAAAAAAAAGCAGGAATATTATAATAGTTAAAAGGCTAATACCAGCCGGGTCGGGGACATTTAGGGTTGTCGCATTTGTAAATTTTAGCATTGGCGTATCCCAACTTTATAGTTATGTTACGGATTTTTTCACTTGAAAAACGAACTGTCTGTGATAAATAATGACCAAGGAAATAAAAATAATAGCTAAAATAAAGCTTTAAATCAAAACCTGAACGCCAGAGATTGCTTTGACGCAGGTCGATTTACCATGGGCGACGTGGCCTATAGTACCGATATTAATCGTGGCCTGCCGGCTAATTACTTCAGGGCTCAGTGGTGTGATATTGGAGATATCCAGTTTATCTTTATAAATATTTATAATTAATAGATATTTATTGAAAGAGTTCTAATAGATAAAAAAATCTACCTAGAGATTGCGGGCGGAGTTGCCTTTGCGAATATCTATCTGTTTCTATCATTCAACTTTGTAGAAATACCAGATTTCCAATGACAAGGTAAATTATTAAAGCCTACTTAAACTATTTTTATTATAAATAATGGAAATAAGATAATATTAAAAAAAAATTACAACAATATGAGGTAACTGGAAAAAAAATACGGAGAGAGAACTTCGCAGTTGTATTATAAAACCCTATTACCACAAGACTTTTAATCCCAGGGGGGTTAAGCAGGTAAATAAGAAAAGCCCGATTTAAGCAAGTATGTTGACCCCTCCGAGTGGCTCAGATCCACGCGGAGGACACTTATGTTGACTATAGTCCCATTACCCTTAGTACTGGGGCATAAACCCAGAACGCAACGACCAAAGCTATTTGAACTAGAGATTATTTCCCTTTTAACATCTACAGCTTTGCGACATATAGCCAAGATCGGTTTACACCAGTGGTGGAGGGGTAGCTAACCGGATGAAAGGAAGCAATCAACACAGTTTAGTATCATTACCAGCTCTGCAAAAAATATAGGCAGTTGGTATTACCATCATCCTGGCTAGGCAGGGGCTAATGGCTGTGATTGCAATCTATAACCGCCTAGCCAACCACTCAACTAGTCCAATCTTAAAGCTCTTTAAGTGCAGGACGTTCTAGCCATTCTATTCGGAGATTTTAACTATAAACCTCCTGCGTGGAACAACCGGGTGGCAAACCGGAAACGCCTACATCTTAGGTTTACACTAAGAAACACTGCTGAGAGTCCTAGGGCTGCCAGCCCTCCAAAGGCTATTGAGGAGCTGAATAAATTGTCGTCGGATCATTTGCCTCCCCTGCTCGAATTTAACGAAGTAAAGGAAGCAATAAAGACATCTTCCCTATCTTACATGTGCTTAAACCAATTCAGCGAACTGTTCCAGAAGGCGCACCCACTGTTTATGACACCAATAAGAACTTCCGGTAGACTAAACAGTGCGCTTGTCGAATTTAAGAGCGCAGTGACAGAAGCTCACAGGCAAAGCAACGACGACCTGTAAAGTTGTGTACCACTTTAAAGCCTTGCTGAGTAACTGAAGGCATTAATATGCTAGCGTTAGCGGTTCCTCCGAAAAGTTATGACCTTTTAAGGCGTAAAAACAAACTAGCGCTTAACCGCCATCTCTCCCTCCTCAAGAAAAAGCTCATGGGGCATATAAACTGCCAATGGGATAACAGTCAAACGAAATATTCGGAAGCCGGTGACCTCGGTCGCGCCTTTTAAAAATTTGTTAAGCGAGTTAGAAATCGCAAGCGTTCGACTCGGCCACCACTTCACAACGGCGATACCGTATCCGAAAGCGATGGAAACAAACTAAGTTTCTTGCTGATCGTCTAATTGCCAAGTGTTCGCCATCTACTCCCTCAAGCATTGATAACGCTCCCTTGTGTATAGTCTTATCTCGGCTGATACAACTGATTTCCTAAAATCATTTTTCAAATTACTAACGAAGAGGTAGGCTCCCGGTTCTAGCGGTTTTTACTAATCTTATGTTAAAACAACTTCCAGAGACGGCTATGAATCATCTATGCTGCCTGGTCAACTCGATGTTCACCAGCTATTCTCCTGAGCGTAGGAAAATGGTGGTAGTCGTGATTTTACCTAAGTCATCGCAACCTACGACCCATTATAAGATAGCTGAAGCAGCGATAATTAATAGCTTGAAGGCAGCTTTGGACCCTCGTGAAATTTTACCTAAGTTTCGTTTTGGATTTCGCAAGGGACAGTCAACGGCCCAACTAATACTTCGCGTTGCCGAGTAATACTTTTACTTGTACTCGTGGACGGCTAGAAACCTGTTTGAGAGCTCGCGTATTCGAAGTTGTTAACTGGTTTCGAGCACCAGGAAACGCCTCATTAACATATGAAGAAATAATAAAAAGGTAATAATAAATTTTATGCTTTCTTAATAAAAAAGTCTTTGATAACCAAAAGAGACTCTTAAGTTATTACTTAAAAAAAATTGATATTTTTACATTTATTAGTTTATTTATTTTTATTTATCTTCCAACGTTTTTTTAAATATGTCATTTGTTTTACAATAAACTTATCTGTTTAAATTACAATAATAAATAAACTATTAAAAATACTGTTAAGGAACTGAGATGTTTATTATGAGAGTACTTTATCGAACGCTTAGTTTCGGCTCTGACTGTTAGCTCTATCTTGTGGCTTTCGTCAAGTTTTGTACACACTTTATGCCCGTAAGGTTTCCTGTCCTGTTCCCAGGTGTATACGGTCTAAAGGTTGTTGTATTACCTCTAAACTTATTGAGCAAGATTGTACTTAACTTTATAGTCGGTTCATTTTCATAAATGCATTCGCTTATATTCCGGTAAATTTTTTTTACCTACAAGCTACTTCATAAAAACCTTTATTTCGTTAAAAGATTTATTATAATTTTAATATGTTAAATCAACGTTGAACCTTTGCTTTTTTTATTTAAACTATATATATGTAAGTATCAACTTTTCCTTTATTACTGAGAAATTGACCAATCTAAACACTGTTTAAAAGTTACTATTAAACAATTTATAACCATAGTTTTGATAAATTTTTGACTTGAGCGCACAGTCTCCCAAGTATCGTTTATATACGACAGTCTTTGAGTAAAAAAACATTTAAATGGAGAAGAATATGATATATATTTTTTTTAAACAGATGTTTAATATACAATATATATATATCATTTTTTTTAATTATTATTGTTATTATTTAAAATTAAATATAGATAGCTGAGATTATCACATTAACTTGAGCTTTGGTAAAAAGTTAATTGAAGCTGGTTTTGAAAAAACAAATTTTGGAAAATTTTAAGTGAATTCAACAGGAATCTAATAGCATTTGAACAAGAGTAAACCATTAGAAGAAAAAAAATTATTGCGAATGACATTAAGTTAACTTTTATTGAGTAATAACCTTTTTAATGTTATAAAAAATTTTGAAAAGCTTAAAAACTTACACTCCTTACGTTTTTCTTTGCTTCTTTTAGATCAATTTTCTTTTTTTACAACAAGAATTAATTATTATTAAAAATTAGATGGTTATTATAAAAGGGCATATTGAAAATAAAAAATGGATCTCTATTGATTATCCCTATTGATTTGAAGAATTAATATAACTCTAAATTATTCTTCTATATACGAAGCTATCGTCCGTAATAATTATTATAATAAATTTTTTATTATAAACAAAAGGGAAAGAAAAACGTTTTTTATTTATCTTGTTCCTCTCACGTGGGTTTAGAATTTACGAAAATAAAATAGTTCATACTTAAATATTTGAAATTAACTGCTCCCGCCACTTTCCTGTATAACTTTGATTATCTCCTATTATAAGATTCAATATTTAAAAAAAATAGCATCAGTGTGAGTAAATCTTTTTTACAGTGAAAAGTGTTGAAGAAAGATCTGAAGAGATGGAACGGATGGCCAACTGTATAGTAACGCCTGAGTTTGCCTGAAGAGCCATTTTGGCTCTGACCAGGACGAGAAGATCCCCTGAAGTTACTAAGTGACCCCAAATAGCGGAGCAAAAAAAAAAAAAGCTTGGGCAAAGCACCACAAAATCGGCCGACCAATAGAATAACATGAAAATGGGTTTCTGGGGACACTCTGTCGGTATTGTCGCAGGAATACATCCCTTTACAAATTAAACTTTAAAAAGAGAAGGCATTGATTTTAAAATCTCGAAGATTTTTTCACAGCGCCAAGTTGCTTGGAAAGAGAGACCGTTGTCTTCTCCAGACTTCGAAGATGTGGTAGTTGAACCACATGGACAACTTCTGCTGCGTCGTCTAATTGGGTCCAAGCTGTTGACGGCGTGTATTAAACTAATCAAGAAGGCTAATGTAAGGCCAACTAGACACCTGTAGAAAAGTCGTGGAGCTCCTCAGGGTGTACATAGTCGGCCACAGTCACGTGAAGATTCTCAATTTTGTATTCGTCCTCAAGGCCTCCGACTCCCGACTCCCGACTCCCGACTCCAAGAAAACAAACTTTAATGTGTTGGTAAATACAGCAGAAAAGCACGTGGCATCGGAAGGAGCACGCGCTAAAACGACAAAGACGCTTTTGGTCTCTCCACCAGAAAGAATGGAAACAGGTCGGACAAAAACTTGTTTGAAGTCTTCATTGCTCTAAACCAAAACTTATGTATATACACGCACAGAGACCGTTACACAGCAAGAGACACGTGTCTCCACACTAACATGAACCGTCAAGTCCCTTAATACAGCGTCCTTAATTGTATTGGTGACTAAAAACTGGAGCGCGAGATGATCGTCAAGCACGTGTCTGACACAGCGAACAACAAATTCTGTTTCGCTCTCCGTTAGCATTACTATTAACCGAATGGGGGCTGTGGACTAAGAGAAACGTTTCGAGAACGCTGAAAAAAATCCAGGGCTTCGAGTTCTGGAACATCCGCCCATTCCCTCTCGTACACCCTTCCCTAAAGACGTGGAATATAAGAGCGGGCTGACTCCCGATGCGCGTCGGGCGTGATGAGAATAATTGCGCAGAGGTAGGGGAGGAGGGCAAGGCGCTAGAGGGCTCAAGAGAAGCGCGAGGGGCGGCGGAGAGGGGAAGAGGGCTACGAACTTCATCATCTGTGTGGTACTTGCAGCAGGAGAGAAGAACAAGGATTGACTCAACAAGCTCGTCATGCTTCACAGCAAAATTCGCCTAGCAAAAGAGTTGTAAGGGGGTTTTAGAGTAAAGAGAGCGGAGTACTAGCGCAGAACAGCAGCCGCTCGAACACATGCGCTCTCCAGAACCACGCGGTTGTGGATATATCTGATATACTGAAGCGCCTTATACGACTATACTTAAAAAAAGTAACAAAAAAACTAATGCACCTGTGATGGGCGGGGCATGGAGGGGCATTCGTCGCCTACCGATAGCGGATAATTAATAAAGTGCCGAAAGTAGAACAAAAGGAGAACTGCCTAGAAAGTGAAGTATACGTGTACAGAGAAGCGCAAATTTGCAGTCTTCAATGAACTCGCAAAGATGGAGAAGACCCAATTCCTTGGCGTCTGGTAGTGCGTTAATGGGCTTCACTAGCGTGTCAACCACGGCCGACTTGAACACATGGCCGCCTGAAAGGCATAGTGGCGTCAACTACTCTCCATAACGGGTGGCAGAGGTTAAGACCTTGATCCCGTAGGCTAGTTGCCAAAAAGCGAATGATGGTAGCGTGGTGCTGCGGAAACTTAAAGGCGAGCTCTCCAAAACCACCGCACAGTTCAGCCTTAAAATCGTAATTAATGGGCTCCAAAAGCGGATGAATCTGAACCAATAAAATCAATGTGCGAGCCCGAATAGTTGGCCTCTAGACATTCTATCCGACCTGTGGGACCAGCTTATCGATAGAGCTTTCTGAGCCCGTCTTGAGAAGCGTTGTGATAACCAATACCGCGACGGTTTTATTATCGTCCTGAATTAGCGTTTTCCAGGTCGAGATTGCACGGGGCCACTGCTGAAGAATGTCCAATAAGGATTAAACAAAAAGGGCAGAGCAGAACGAGACCAAGAGGAAACCGCGTGGCGGCTTTGTTTAGAGTTTTTACAGCGGCGAAGCGGAGGGTATCCTGCGAACTCATAAGAAACAACTGAAGCACGGTAACGGTCATGGCAAGCAGTCTACCCTCTACTCTTGGGAGGTTGCATATTGTCCTCTTTAAATAAACTTTTAAAAGAAAAGGAAAAAGAGCAATAACTATATGTAAGTACCGCAGACTCGTACATCCCCATTTCGTTCGCATCTCTTAAGGAGTACTCGAGGTATCGATTAAAATGTTTCCTAATGAAAAATAAGTAAAAACTTTATTATAAAATATTATTTATTTAAAATTATATTTAAAAAAGTTTAATTAACATAAAACGTTTCCTTTAAACTTCTTCAGCCAGAAAAAAAATCTACTTTTTATCATTTTAGTTGTTTATAATACATCTTTATGGTTTCATTATAAAACTTAAGAAACCCTAAGTTTTATATAAAGCGTGATATAAAAAATTATATTAATTAGTCTGTAGATGGACTTCAATATATATAAGAAAAGTTTAAGTTTCCCTTCTAAAAATTAAATTTCTTTTTTATTAGACAAAATTTAATATTTTTACAAAATATAATAATAATACTGTTAAATGTTTAACAAAAAAGATTATAATATATTTACTATTTTATGACTTTTTTATAAAATGTTTTTATTTTGATGCGATTTTGTTATTAAATGTATAAATCATTATTTTATTAATAAAACATTTTTATAAAACTTGTCTTCAAGGTCGTCAGTTTCTTCAAGTATTTTTGCAACGTAGCGAATTAGCATCACTGACGCTACAAAAGTAAAATAAAAATATATAATTATATTAATAATATAATTATAATAAATCTCTATTTTAAATTTTTTTTAATAAACAAATATCTAGATATAAAAAGTTATAATTATTTGTATAATTTTTATAAATAATTAAATAAAATAACAGAATAATAATAAAAAGAAATAAAAGTTGTAGTTATATAAATAAAAAAGTAATAGGATTATTAAAAAATAATATAATGAAATATTTATAACTAATATTATCATAAATAATTTAATAACTGATAATAAATATAAAACAATAATATAATAACTTATAGTATATAGGATATCCAAAAAAATAAAAAGTCAACAGAATAAAAATAATCGCAATAATAAAAAATAAATATTAAAAAAAATATTTAATACCAAAAGAAAGAAATAATAAAATATTAATAATAACTTAACTTTTTTTTTAATAAAAAAAAAAAGGAATAAATAAAATATTTATAAGCGATAAAAAAAAAGTACAAGAAAAAACATTTTATAAAAAATTATATATTCATTAAATAGTAATATGCGATGTATATTATTACTCTGCAAATAATCTTTTATACACTTAAATAATAAATATATCCAAGATATAATATATATTATTCTTATAATATATAAAACTTATAAAGAGAAGATTAATATTCGCAATTAAATAGAAAGACGATGTAGAAAATAATAATAATTATAAATAACAAAAAAAGATATTCTTAAATAATAATAAATAAAAATATAATACGGAAGCAATATTATAATAATAACTTATTCAAACAATAAATTCATATTTATTAATGAAACTTTAGCGAATAATATTATTGCTAATAATAATAATTATTAATGAATGATAATGAGTAATAATAAAATAAAAGTTATTAACTAGTAATGAAAAAGTTACATTATAAATATTTCAAAGAAAATAAAAATAAATATAATATTATATATAAAAAGTGAAATAAGTGCAATATCTTTTAAGAAACAAATTTACAATAAAAACTTTAATTATATATAAAGTAAAGAATTGAGAAGAAAAAAAGCTATTCTTATTTATTATAACCTTCAAAAATATAATTTTTTTTTATTTTCAATAAAATATAATCTCCTTACTACAATAAACGTAAAAGTAAAGTGGTACGTATACATAAAGTGTCTATATTTTTTAAAATTTATAAAACTTTTTTTTGGTAATAATAAACTAGTTAGAAGCAAAAATGTATTTCATATAAATAATACTTTTACTTTGTTAATTAATAATAAACAAAATAACAATAACAATGAACAATTCAGAAAAGCAAAAAGTATATATTTGATATTCATAAAAATTTTTATTTTATATGTAAATAATCTTTAGTTTTTAATTAAAAGTATTAATGAATAGATAAAAGATTTATATCCTAAAATTATTTAATTTTTTCTGTATCATAACTTTTACTCCTTTTAAAGTTAATAATAAAACCTTCAAGTTTTTGGTATAAATATAAAACATTTTTATTTTTTAAATATAATAAACTTGCAATATTATAAGCGAACCGTTAAGAAAAAAACCTTTTTTAATATTTTCGTTATAAATTTTCAATAGTATTATAAATATAAAATATAATAAGTTTTTTAGGCAATAAAGTTAAAATAAAACTTTTTATAAAATTTTTTCTTTTTTATAAACTTTAACTTTTTGAAACTATATAACAATAAAAGTATATATATACTTTAACTATTTAATAATTTTAATAATAATAAAATAGTTTTTTACTAAGTTTTTATTGGCCAAGCGCAAAGCAGAAACGAGCGCGGCGCTAGGAACGGAGGGGTTCTTATCCACAATGGCTTGTTTAAGAAACCTATAAACATATGATAATACACCAATTAGAACAAAACTTTTCAAGACAAATTAAAACCTCTCAATGCCTTGAATATCATTTTGATTGGTAATGGTGACCAAAGCCCTAATCGCAGAGGCTCGGTAGTTATCGTCTTTCCCTCTTTAGAACACCTTGATAAACATAATAAAAGTCTGCTATAATAATATTATTATATAAGTAATTTAACATAAAAATTCTTATTAACAAAAATTAAATAAATAAAAACTATTATAAGTATATAAAATAATAAAAAAACTTGTTTATAATATTATAGATGTAAAAGTTCAATTATTTTAAAAAATAAAAAATAATAATATAAAATTATTCGCATAGAAAATTATTATAGAAGATTTAAATTATAATAGAAATAGTCTTGTAATTTTATAATCAATAGAGAATACTATAGAAAGTACAAAAATAATAATTGAAAGAACAATAATAAAATTAATATTATTTTTATATAAAAATGGACGATAAAAATAAATTTACAAGGTAAATATTTTTAATTAAATTTTTATTTTGAAATTTCTAACTGCTGCTTTAATTATTTATGCTTTTTTATTATAACTTAAGAAATTTCTATTTTTTAATAAAATTTAAAAAAAAGTAAATTTTACTTCAGTAAATTCAAAACTTTTTCTTTTTTTTATAAAAAAATAACTGTAACGGTTATTAACCGGAAAGAAGAATTATTAGGTTTCTTAATTTGTATATAAAATTAAAACTTTTTTACTAATTCTAATTTTTCATGAAAACTTAACGTAACTCATCACTAAATAATATTTAAAATTATAATTGAAAAATTGAAGTGTGCTAAAGAAATAGTACCAAACAAAATAATATTTGCTACTCGCCAGCAAAAACAGGGCTAAAGCGAGAAGAGCAAAGCAGCTTACAAATTTATTTAAACACACAAAACTAAAATAAGAAGAAAATTTACTCTAGTAAACGTTATAACAAAGAATAGTGGTAAAAAACATCCAATAAACCAATAAGTAAATCAGTTTAAATTAGGAAATATCATTAAAAAAAAGTTTGATAAATAATTGATATTATAATAATTATAATTAAAAAGAATTCAAATAAATACTATTAACGAAATTTAACAGTTTTAAGATTATATAATAATTAATTTAAAAATACAAAATAATTTAGAAAAATTATTATAATACTACTAATAAAGGTAACAGTTTCTTAATTAAGTTTAAATTATTATAATTTTAAAAAGTTATAGACTATAAGAATACCACTGACAAAGTTTAACAGATTTATAACTAAATTAAAATTAAATTAAATTCATTGAATATATAAATTAAATTAAATTAAACTAAACTAAAACTTAAAAAAATTCCAATTATGTTCAACTTAAGCTAAATTGCTACATAATAAACATAAATAACCAGAAATGTCTTTAGTTAAACAAGAAGTTGCCATCAAGATGTGCTCCGCATTAGTGAGTTCCTTAATGGCAAGGTAAAGGAGTCGCCGACGCGAAGCATTTTTTGATTGGAACAATAAAGTTATGTCGAAAAATAGTGAAGTCGCTTCTGTTACGAAAAAACGATGACCTATTGAGAAAAAAAGAAGATGAGTTTGTATATAAAAGGTAATACTCTTATATAAATTTCAAAAAGTAAATTTAATAATTAATAAAAAAGTGGAAGAAAAATTAGAAATTTAAATAAACTTTAAAAATTATCTTGTTTAAAAAAATTCCGAAGTAGTATTAACTTGAAGAAATATTAATTAGAAAAAGTAAAATTTGAAATCTGAAAAATATTAAAAACAGAAGCATCATTAGATAGAAAAAAATAAAATAAGATATTTAAATGTTCAAAAAGAAAACAAAAAAGGTTGAAAATTTTATAAAAATTCATTAATTATTTAATATTACCTTCATTTATTATATAAAGAAACTTTGTTAACACAAGTCGTGCAGGGCGAACGTTAAGGCCGTTTTGACGAAAAAATCTCGTTTCTTGAAGGACAGTCGATCTAATAATATACAATAAAAAGAGCTAAAAAATACTATATAATATAATCAAAAACAATAAACTTAATAATACTATCTTTTTGAAAAGTATTATGTTTTTAAAATTTTTAAAAATAAATTAAATTAATCGAATATTGATATTTTTATAATATTACAAAAGTTATCTAAAGTATCCATCTGCTAAAAAATAAAAATATTTAAAAAAAAAAGGTAAGAAAAAAACAAAATGCGACCTGTCCGTTTTTCCCAAAGGATTAAAATACATATCCTCATTTTTCTTTATAGTAATTTTCATATCCGTCCACTTTAGTTTTTAATAAATTTTCTATGTTATGCTATGTTTAATAAATATGGTAGTAACATTTTGTGAACTTAATAGATATATAAAACAAAGATATAATTCAATATAAACTTACATAAAACATATAATTACACTATTTACAAAAATATATAATTATAAATAATTAAAAAGTTCGAAGAAACGTACCCCACAATTTTAAATGAGTTACACTATATTTAATATTTATTAATATACTTTGTGAATATTCTAGA